GGACAGTTTAAATTTGCGGGGGCGGGGGCAGGGAACGTAAAACCCGCCCCCGCCCCGCCCCGTTGCCATGCCTAATCGCAACTTCAAGTGCTGTGTGTGACCAACTTTTGGTCACAATGTCACTCTTTTATTTTGTAAGCTTCAAAATATCACACCGCACATTTTATTAATACAAATGTCACACTTTTATAAATATTGAGAAGTCGGGTATTCGAAATTTAATTTTTTAACGTATTTTTTTACTTTAAATTTTATACCACTAAAGTGTAACGACCTGTCTGACCGTCACACAGCAACCCACAACAGTACCACACAGATAAGAACATACATATAACTAAATATGTCTAGCCTGGGGCTTAAAAATCCAAATATACAAAATACAACCCAATTGCTATACTAAGTAGCTAAAAATAACATAAAGAATAAACTCCATCTGCCAGCTGCAGACCTGCCTCAAGACATCAACCTAACCCTACTCTGCTCTCATACATAGTATGATCATTGCAGTCCAAATCACATGAAAATAACAAAGGGTAAGTGTTAGGGTTACTCGAAAACCGTATGACTCGAAAAAGGTGTTTTGTACTCGAAATGAAGATAAAGTCAACACCTACTAGGATTGTATCAGGGGCCTTAATTATTTGCGCTCGAAAGTCGAATCGAAAAGAGAAATGCTCGAAAATAGATAAAGGAGGTTACCAGAGGTTTCCAAAAAGGGTTGAAGAGTCAAAACGGAACAGTTAGTGGAAAGTGAATCGAAAAGATAAAAAACACGTGGGATTAACGGTTATGAGAAGTTATCTGTCAGACCACGTAATAACTCACGAGTACATATTTAACTGCCCTTGATTAAGTTCTATAAATATGCAAAACATGGTAATTTACGGAGGTCGGAAAACTCATACTAAAACTATACTCTCAAGCACTCTCTGCCTACGCATATGGCTTTCGTGCACGGAATTGTTTTTGGTATGATTCCTTCTCAGCCATTTTTCTGTTTTCTTTTTAGGAGTAGTATTAGTGTAGTTCGTTCTTCTTATTTCTTTTGATTACGTAGTTCTAGCATTCTGGCATTGTAATTCCTGTTAATTATGCAAGTGAACCATGATCTGTATTGCAAATGTATCTATCATTCATGATGTTTATTTAAGGATTTACTTTCATGAATATTATTACTTGTTAATCATTGATGAATATTTAGAAACAAGTAGTTTTTAAATCTTTCTGCTCCATCTCGTTGTACTTCAAATATCTCAAAACGAAACATACCTAAATTGAAACGTGTGTCGTGCTAGTTCGAATAAAAAGAATCCATAAAACGAGTTTCACCGTAAACAGTGAGCTAGTGAAAAGAATTAACATACATATATATAAATACATGAATGGTAAACAACTATGTATTTTTCATATATTATTTTTTAAAATAATAAAATACTTAATAAACTTAATAAAAATTTATAAAATAGTAAATACATAAATTTAAATTTTTTTATTAAATTAATTTAAAGTTAAATCATTATAAAAACTTGTAAAATCAATTTTTTTTACTTAGTTAAGTTCTTTAAATTTGTTGTAAAGGTTAATTTTTGTATAATATGTTTAATGTGTATGATATTTTTATTGTTTGAACAATAATTAATCTCCTAATTTTTATGGTTGTGAATTTAATATTCCTAATTTTCATGGTTGTAAATTAAAGTGCAATACAAAAATAAATTAAAAAACGAATCTCAATATCGAAGATGACTACCAATTAATTCCACAGGTGGCGATTTTCTATTTTGCGAAGGATTGGGATGAGAACAAGTTTGTCTTGGATATCGTGTATGATTGTTTTCATAATCAACAATCTATTAAGTTTGGGATATAGATTAATGGTAATCATTAACAAATGCAGAAGTATAGTATTTGGCTCTTGCTAAAGATAAGATTCATGTTGGTTAAAAATGAGACACCATTAGGATACATATTTTGCAAATATGTTGTAGTTGATTATGACAAACCAACATTTACACCAAATAGGTGTAGACACCCAATTTCGTCCAGGGGCATACAAACAAGGAAATGGACCTCTGTTATGGAGGGAAGGAGCTCCCGAAGCATGCAAACAACAAGACAGGACTTTAGAAGGCCCAAAAGCCCAAACAAGCTGATTTTAGAAGACTGGAACGGGCTGTTCCAAAACTAAAACGGGGCGTTCCGAATTTGGAACGGGTCGTTCCAAGTTTCTAAAATGGCCAAAAACCCTAAATTGGAACGGGCCGTTCCAAGATTGGAACGGGCCGTTCCATGCTTATAAAAAGTGGGTTGAAAGCTTTACTGGAACGGGCCGTTCCAAGTTAACAAAAAGGCCTAAAAACCCTTCTTTGAAACGGCCGTTCCAGTCTACCAAAGGATGTGTTAGTTTTATCCCTGGAACGGGCCGTTCCAATTTCAGAACAGGCCGTTCCTAGAAAATTAATACAGAACGACCATATCCAGAACAGGCCGTTCCGATTTTGAAACGGGTCGTTCTGGACCCTTTCTGAAGTCTATAAATATAGACAGTTTGGGCTCATTTCACCAGGACCTCCAAAATTTCGTCCAAAGATCCTTAGAACTCGAAATTTCTCTCTCTCTCTCTCTCCTATTATATTTCTTGAGTTTTGTGAGGCTTATTATAGTGTGAAAGGTTGTCACAAAGCACCTAAATCTCCATATTTGAAGATTAATAGAGCTCGTTCAAGAGGTATTTCAGTTAATTTTCTTCTCTCTCTTTTATTTCTTATCCTTGATAAATATTGTTTATAATAAAAGCAATCATGTAGACATTTTAGAGTCAATTGTATAATTTAAATTTCAAGCATGTAAATAGTTATTAATAAAAGGGGATTTCATATTTACATTATTATTGTTTATAACGTTAACTTCATCATAGGGTGGGTGTTTAATATCTTCCCTACACGTAATCGTCCCCGAACCCAATTCTGGTTATCAAGACCATTATTGGATTTTTAAAAACCTTTTCTTTTTCCAATGTTTTGAGTAAAAAATTGGTGGCGACTCCATAAACTCATTTTTTCAAAATCATTAATTAAGGATTAGTCTAGTGTCCATACATTCCTTAATTGATGAGATCTTTAAAAGGATGTCTAAACCATTAGTCGCGAGATAAAAAATTTTTGGGTTGCGACAATAGGTTATTAAAAAATTTGTCTGTTATTGGTGCTTTAGAGTGTTGATCAAGATGTTGTTGTGTTGGAGGAGTTATAACAATTGAATAAGTTTGTGATTCTCAACCATCATTTTCCATATTATCAATAACAATGGGGTTTGAATGTGGAGTTATATTTTGTTGTGGACATTCTCATTGTGTTGGCATTTCTATTAGCACTTGTAACATTTGACCATCATCAATGTTTTCTACAACTCGTGGGTCATGTAATTGTTGGGGCATAGACAAATAAAGAATTGTATTTTGCCTATACAATGCCATATATTCATCAGTATGAGATGAATGACTATGGATAGGTTGTCCTACTACAACGTTTTGTTAGTGTTTCATCCATTGTTGGATCCAGTGGGCATGTTCTTCTACCCATTTATTGTAAGCATTTCTTTGCATGGATGTCTCATGTTGTTGATCCAAATTTATAGGCGATGATGGTATATTTTAGCATAAACCAAATTGGAGTTTTACCCTATCCATTTGTTGCCATTCAACCACTGCAAAATAAATTAAAATAGTAAAAGTGTTTCACATTGTTGAATTTTTAAATGCATTTTTTGGCAATATGCACTCATAACCTTTATAAGGCATCCAAAGGAACTGTAAAATTAAGAATGAATATTAATGTCTTAATATGTGACAATTAACAATTTAAAGGAAATATGTATACCTATGTATTTTGCATGTAATCAATTCTTGACCTATGCCCAACTAAGTCACCTTTTGGTGTCCCGGAATGCCTTAACCTGCCACCACTCCATCTAGTATAATATATATATATGACGTGAGTAAATAAGCAATAGTAACAACTATAAGGACAAAAATATGTTTAAATTTTATATACCTAATTGCACGAGGATATTATCCTTATGAATGATTGACTTGTGGTATCATGAAAGGTATGCAATGTCATGCCCAAGACTATAACAATAATGCACACCTACTCATAACTTGTGCACCTGCAAGACTTCCTAGATACATCTCTCTATATAATGTTGTCAAACATGTTGAAACCTAACTATAATATTGTCAAAATTTATTAATAGGTTTAAATACATAAGGTTAACTCTATTGGATGATTGGTCGACAATATAACACCTCCAAATAGGTACATTATGTAGGCTTTACAATATGCTTGTAATTGTAATTGGGTTGATTCATTTGGGAGTTTTTCTTTTATAATTTCTCTCAACCACACTAGTTTGATTGCAAACCATTTTCACACTCCCAGCGGAGGAATCACACCTAAAAGTCTTTCACGCAACTCCTCCTAATCTAGATAATTAGGTTCAGTAACTACTCTTCCATCTACCCTAAGTCCTGGTTGGAGTGTCACATCCCCTAATGTCACAGTGCACTCATCGCATGGTTGGTGGAATGTGTGTGTCTTAGGTCTCTATCTCTCTATGAGAACTGTGATCAATGAATGATCTATCTTATATTGTCTTATGACTAAAATTTGTCTGAACTGTTGGACATTCAAGAAAAAATGTCCACAATTGCAACAATTGTGATTTATGTTTTTCTTAATGTATTTTGTGTTTTAATAATAAAAAATAAAAAATTCATGCAATTTTTTTTGTAATTTATATTATTTAAATCTAATTTATCCTTTAAATTTAATTTATAATTTAAACATTCTTTAATAACATATATATTATGCTTTATTCATTCATTTATATATATATATATATATATATATATATATGCATATATATATATATATATATATATTAAAATATATTTTTATAAATTAAAATTTAAAGTAAAAATAATTATGAAGACTTTTTAGAACCAATTCAAGACATGAAAGTGACTCTATTAAATTCACAACTATGAAAATTATGAGTATTAATCATTGTTCAAACAAAAATAAATATCAAACATATTATACAAAAATTAACCTTTATAACAAGTTTAAAGAACTTAAGTAAAAAAAAGATTGTACACTTTTTTATAATGATTTTTACTTTAAATTAATTTAATAAAAATATTTAAATTTATGTACTTACTATTTTATAAAATATTTTATTTTAGTTTATTTTGTATTTTATTATTTTAAAAAATATATTAAAAATATATTTTATAAGTTAAAATTTAAAGTTAAAAAAAAAGTGTGATATTTTGATCAATAAAATGTGTAGTGTGACATTCTGGTGCTTAAAAACAAATAAAAGGGTGACATTTTGACAAAAAAAAATTTGTATATGACAATGCACAAACGTGTGACAACTTTGAAGGAATCGTAAAAGTATTGACCGCTACTACTTGTAATTTACCGGTTTAACAGTTCATTAATACATAATACATATTTAATTAATTTGTGATGCAAATAATATAAATTTATCTTAATATTATAATAAATATTATATAACACAAATAATTTATGCAATTCAATTAGTAATTTACTAATTTGACAACTGATGTGCTAATATAGTATTATGATATTTTCGATTAAGATAACATCGCTTAATTTTTTATTTTTTTTAAAAAGAAGTGGAATAAATAATGTTGCAGTTATCGGTGATAAAGTATTTTTAAAATTAAAAAAAAATGAGATGGTTGGTATTATTAATAAAAAAACAAGATACAAATAGTAATCACCAACTAAGTGACTAGCTAAAACAACAACTTATTATGATTTAGAAGAATCTTAACCTAACTTTATATTTGCAGGCATCACACAAGTCCAAAATTTGTTCTAAAAAAAAATTCTAAACATGACAGTCTACCAAAGTATTTAAATAATAATCCTCAAATGTTGGACCAAGTGACCAACCACTATACGAAACCAAATCAAAAAACATATCATGAACGAAAAAAAAAAACTCCTTTTTCTAACAAATATTTTTTTTCTTCCCAAAATGTGTCTACATAAACTTCTAAAAAAATTCTTTATATAAATTTATCCACTAACTAATTTATAATTTTTAAAAAAATTATATAAAAAGCTTTACAAATTAACACATATAAAAGTTAATTTTAATTTATAAAAAAATGTGAACAATTCAACTCAATAATGCCTTCATTCGTTTTCTTTAACACCTCATGCCTTCATTGGTTGAAGTTTTTAAACTGAAGTCTGATTAGGGCACAGGCGTTGCGCTGTCCTTTTCTTTCTGTCATCTCTCAATTCCCTGTCCACGTGTCCTGCAACCACACCAACTCACCCTTCATAAACATACTTCAATTATTTTGTTTTAACCTTATGAATTACAATAACAAAATAATTATAAAAACGATTACGTGCTTTTGCATCGAAATAACATTGAGCAACGACACAAACACATGTCTGATGTTAAAAAAATAAATAAAAATCCTAACAAATAAATATTGTAATAAAATTACGTAAATATCGCATCAAAGACATTGTTGGGGTGCTACCTAGAGAGATAAATGCTGTGGGAAGTGGGAACCAATTATTTATCACTTTAGTTAGGTGGAGGAAACCTTCCGTTTTTGTGTTAGAGGTAGTTTTCAATTAAATTTATTATTATTAATTAAATTAAGTATTTTTCTTATTTTTAAATAAATTAGGATAATTGAATTTTATATATAGCAACAGATATTATCTCTTTCTATATAATATATCACCCGGATCATCTCTTATATTAATATTTTTTTTCTCATTCTTTCTGTTTACTAGCGTTTAAATAACTATAAACCACTAGAATTAGCTTAGTAATTAAATAAAAAGAGGTTGAAGTAGTTAAAAGTATGAGGACTTAGATTCAATCTTTATTGTGACAATCTTTATAATATTTCTTATCTTAAAAAAAAAAGGTGATCATAGATGATTTTCTTTTCTATATACTGATGGTTATGAAAGTACATGCAACTAATTTCCCCATTTTTTATAATGAAAACATAGTTTTAAAAAAAAATCATGCAATTTTTTTTTAAATTTAAATAATGGTAGGACAAAATGTACTTGGAATTTGGAATATTTAGAGCTTGAAACCCAATTAATAACACCTGCAAACGGCGAAGAATATCCTACAAGTTTGTACCGGAAAAAAATTATACTGTTTAGGTTAAATGATTAAGAAAGTAGATTTTTAAACTATTTCATAACTTTCAAACAAGTTTCCAAATTTTAAAAAATAATATTTTAAGTAGGTCATTCATCATGTGATATTTTTTTTAATTGATTCGTTAGCTTTTGAATTGACCTCAAATTATTAATCTTAAATATGTTTTCTACCTATAAAATGGCCGACTTTTAACTTTGATATATGTAATTTTTTTTCTTCTAAAATTTATAAATATTATTTAATTCAAAATATTTTTATTTTTATAAAATAAATAAATTTTAGTTTTAGTTCCTATAAAATATATTTTTTAATTTTTTTTCTAAAATCTAAAATCACTATTTTAAATTCTCTCTAATGATAATTTAAAAATATATAAATAATATTTATTTTAAAAATTTATAAATTATTTTAAAAATATTATACACTAACATAATATTATTAATAGTTATAGGTAATATTTAGTAAGATCACTTAATATTTTAATAAGTAAATAATTAAAATTAATACATAATAATAAAATTAAAATTTAGAGAAATGAAAAATAATTTTTTAATAAAAAACTAAAATTAAATTTTTTTTACTTATTCATTCTATATATTTAAACTATCTTTTAATAATTTTAAATAACCAAGAAATAACTTTAGAAATGTAATTTTTTAATTTAGATATATATCTTTTTCCGTTTTATAATTTAGATATATGTCTAATTTTATTTTTTTAAAAAATACTAATAACACTCATTTTAACATATTTTTTTAAAAATACATTAAAAATTGCAATAAATATATTAAATAATTTATAATTTTAAATCAATTTCAATCGATAAAACAATAAGTTTATAAAGTATATTTTCCTCACATTTATTTTTTCAAATAGTTAAAAAAAATTTAAAAACCTAATTTCCAATAATTTACCCTAATTTTTTTTTATGGAAAGAGTTTACAGTTTACACTATATTTATTTACTCTCATTTCACAGTGAAAAACGAAAGCTTGGAAGTTCAAACCTTTTTCCTTTTAGATTTCACACTGCCGGCGACGCCATTTCCCGGCGAGCCACCGGCGAACGGCGACCCCCGGTCCGACCAAGCATTCCGAACGTCGTCGTAATTCAACTTCAGCAACAAACCCTCACCCACTCCCATCTCCGCCAATTCCTTCTTCACCTTCTTCTTCTTCTTCTTCTTCTTATTATTATTATTCTTTTTCTCCGTCGCCGGAACCAAACCCTCCGTCGCATCCTTCTTCATCCCCGGCGAGATCTCAACCATATCAACCACCAGAAAATTCCACCAGCTCGCATCCTCAACTCGCCGCAGAGCCCTCACACCAAACCACGGACTCCGCCGTTCGCCGCCGCAACAAAATTCGCCGCAACCACCACCACCACCGCCGCCGCCTCCGTCTTCCACTCTCCCTCCCATGATGCTATCGATTCCTTCATCAATTTCCTCGTCCAAAATCGATTCGCAGTCGAAGTCCTCGCTCTCGAACTCGTCGCAGTTCGCTATTCCCGCGCTGAACTCGCATGGCTTCTCTCGCACACCGAAGAAGGCCTTGTTTGGCCCCGTTCTCAAACCGCGTTTTCCTTCGCGTAGAAAAGAGAAAGCGTCGCTACCGTTACCGTTACCCTTACCGTTACCGTTATCGTTATGGTGATACTCTCTGAACAGTAATAACGGTTCTGAAGAGTCGTTGGTGTGTTCCGTTAACGGTTTGGTGAAGCGTTGGGGTTTTATTAGGTTTTTAGCGGAGAAGAGATTGGGGTGCGCTGTGGAGAGGAGTGTCGCGGCTTCGTTGTAGGTTTGGTTGAGTCGCTTTCGGAGGGTTCGAGGTTTGGTGGTGAAGATTGATTGGGATTGGGGAGAGTTGGTGGTTTCTGAGGTAGTTGAAGAGGTAGGTGAAGTTAGGGTGGATGTGGATGAACAAGATTTAATGAAGTGCAAATTGAATCCATAGCCATAGGTTCTTCCACAACTTGGTGTCATTGCTATAAACAAGATCCTTAGTTCAATGAAGTGTTTGTTTATATATCAAGTATGAGAGAAGTGATTTTTAGGAACTAACTTTGTTTGAAAGTTTGAAATGAATAAATATCTTGAGAGTTTGTGTCTATGTGTAACACACCTAATTGGGGGATTGTCCAGGAAGATAAGGCCTTTTTTAGAAGGTGCAAAACCCTAAACCCTAAGTAGAAAGGTAAAAAAGTAAAGAAAAAGTAAGTTTTTGGGGTTACCATAGATTTTAAAGGTCCCAATTGCAGGCAAAAGCCAAAAAGGTGGGATGGAGAGTTGGAGAATATAGGAATAGGATAGGACAAGGAGAGAGATGGGAAGGGGATATGAAGAGAGAATGAATGTTTGTTTAGAAATTAGCAATTGAAAGAGAGAAGGTCACGAGGGAGAGGAAAAGGGAAAGAGCCAAACCTGAACATATAGGCAAAGTGGCAGAGCGTAAGTTGGCTATGCCTATGGATTATGGACAGTCAGTGATATAGCTGTGACTCACAAGATGAGAACGGAGAAAAAAACAATGCTTGGTTTCATGGGACCACCCTGCATTAGTTTTCCTTTTGTTTTCTACTAGATTTTCAATTATTTCAACCTGTTTTACCGTAGCCGTTTCAATTTCATTATTTAAACATGAAAATAAGGTCACAATTGGTTCATGGTGCACCACTTTCCCTAGTGCAAAACATAGATATGATGTTGAGATATGGGACCTGCCATATAATGAGCAGCGGTGAAAATTTTATAAATAATTTCATTGGTTGTATTAGAATTGATTTTAAAAATATATAAGAATAACCAATTTCGTATATGAAACTTATTGAATAGGTTATATCTAATGGACTTTGTATGTTGTATATGAAATCCTTAATTGTTTAAGTGTATGTTTGCACTCAAGTTTTGATGTGATTTTTTACATTTAAATTTGAAGCGATATATATATCAACTTTCACATAAATCAAACATTTAGACGTAGAAAGAGAAGAAGAAATTACATTAAAAAATAGATACCAAATAAACACTAAATATGTAGTTTACAAGATCAGTTTTTGTATAACATATTTTAAAAGGGAACTCCTCTTTGTCATAGTGGGTACCTTCTTCTATTAGAATCTAACTCCCTTTGATTCTTCTTCTTAATTATGAAAGGTCTCTTCTCTTTGTTATCAACTTTGTCTCTCTTCTCCACTCTCTCATCACCTCTGCTTTGGGTTAAGTTTCCTTCCCTATCACTACACACAATGCCTCTTCACTCAAACCGTTCTACCTTGCAAAGTGAAAGGGGATCAAGTTGTAGAGAGAAAGAGAAAGAGGAAGGAAATGTCATTGGATTCTGACCAATTCTTTGGCTTCTGTCTGAATCATCACGAGCCATTAAAGTCAATTCTCCAGCAAAATAGAAACAAAACTCATCAAAATTTCACAATGGGTTTTGTTTTGTGTTCCCTAATGATGGGTTGAATGGAGAAGAACCTTTTTGTGGATGGTTTTGGTTTGTAGGTTTCGTGGTGATGGGTTTTGGTTGCACATTTTTGCTTGCAAGTTTTCATGGAGAGAATTTTTCGTGTATAAAGCTATTGACAAGGATGATGTTGTTTTGTGATGAGGCACTTCTTTGAAGGTTCGACAGTGGTTCTAGTTTAGGTTTTGTGAGATATCCATACATACAAAATAGGTTGTGGTACTTTTAAAATCGTTCATAATTAATTGATTTTAAAATTACCTCACTATTATAACGGCAGGAACAAAAATTGATTGTACAACTACCCATCAACTTTGTAAGCCAAAATAACTGATTTCATTAACTATTTTCTCATTAGTGTTTATTGATTGTTAGATTCATCTATTTTTTTATGATAATATTGTGCATTCTTCAAACTAGATCTCTCTCTAACCTCCTTCCCAATTGGAAACTCCTTTACATTATTGTCGCTCCTCTGACAATCGTGAATGAATGAAACCATAGTGTTAAAGCTTCTTTGTAAAATTATTTGTGATCCCATTCAATTAGTGTTTGAGGTAAGCATCAAATGCACCTACTGTATTATAACGAAGGTGCAATGAGAACACATAAATCTTGGTTGCGACACAAAACAGGTACAGAAAAAGAGCGGGTGAGGCGTGACATGACAACACAAGCTCGTGATTTAGCATAACCAATGAGGAAGATGAAAATTACTGGAAAGTTACCAACGGAAAGTTACAAATTTCATTCTCTTTTTTTATTGCTCACTATTTTATTATTCTAGTGGTTATCGACGAATCTTTTGTCCTATTTTTATTTTATTTTTGTTCCCTATTTTGTTTGATTCTTTACTTTTCATAGAATTTCTAAGGTTAAAACCCTTATTTGGTCCCTTATAATATTTTTTGTTTCAATTTAATCTCACTTTAATTTTTTGTTTTAATTTGGTTCCCAATAATTTAAATTATTGCAATTTGAGACTTCTGTCCAAATGATTTAAACGAAGTTAATCGGTGGCCATGTGGATGCCACGTAAATGGATCCCAAATTTCTTAAATACACCTGGAACCAGAACGGCCCGTTTTGAAACCAGAACGGCCCGTTTTGGTTCCACTCTTGGTGTGTAAATTTTGTACCTGGAACGGCCTGTTCCAGGTACAAAATTTACACACCAAGAGTGAAACCAGAACAGGCAGTTCTGGTTTCAGAACGCGGGCCGTTCTGGTTCCAGAATTTCACAGAAAGACACTCAAGGTACAAAACATTTCAAACACTAGATTTGGTAATATTGTCAATGAGGATTGATAACTTCAATTGCTAAACATTTAGACTATACAGTATATCACTAAGGACAATGGTAGCATGTTTTATTTCATTGTTAGTCAAACTGGAGTGAACCACTTACTACCAAATTGACACGATACAATCAAGGATGAATTTTTGAACTTTTTCAGTATATGTTATTTCATGTGCATTCTCAGTAATTTCTTTGAACTTTTTTAGTATATGTTATGTTCTGAATTTTTATTTTCAGTTTCTGAATCATGTTTCTGTCTTTGAATTTATGATATGTTATGAATTTTTATTTTCAATTTTTGAATCACATTGCGACATTTTGGTCAAGATTTTGAACTGGATAAGTTCAAATCAAAGAAATATTTTGGAAGGTTTTATTTATTTGGTTTTTTTTGTATTTTTATTCATAAATAATATTAATTTATTGTATTTTTATTAATATATATATAATGAAAAAAAAATACAATAAAAAGCATGAAGTTGGCATTTTGGAAACGGGCTGTTCTGGATTCAGAACGTCCCGTTCTAAAAGCAGAACGGCCCGTTCTGGTTTCAGAACGACCCGTTCTGGTTTCAAAACGGCCCGTTCTGATGCACTCATGTTGTGTTAAATTTACATTTGGAACGGTCCGTTCCAGTTGCAAAATTAACACATAACATGTGCAAGTAGAACGACCGTTCTGGTTCCACGTGTATTCATGAAATTTAGCATCCACCTGTGCATCTACGTGGCATCCACGTGGCATCCATGTGGCATCCACGTGGCATCCAGTTAACCTCGTTTAAATCATTTGGACGGAAGTCTCAAATTGCAATGATTTAAATTATTGGGGACCAAATTGAAACCAAAAATTAAAGTTAGACTAAATTGAAACAAAAAAATATTATAAGGGACCAAATAAGGGTTTTAACCAATTTCTAACTATATGAAGGTGTAGAAGACACTTAATATATATTACCAAAGTTTAGATGAAACTAATGATCAATGAAGATGGTACACTATATAATACGTGAGTTTGAAGATAATTATTTTAAAATGCATCATATGTCATTATTTGTGATAAAATAATAGTATAATTTTTTAATTTATTATATATCGTATAAAGTAAATTATTTATTAGAATTGAATTATAAAACATACTTGTGTATAAAAAAAATTATACTAACATCTGATTATAACTATTTATGTATGGTAAGATTGTTGACCTATATAATTATTTAAAAACATAATTATAATATTTTTAATTAAATAAAAGTGTAAAAAAATCATATTGTACCTACTTAAGGTTAACTTGGTGATTTTCTCCTTCAATTCGTTTGCTCCTAGTCTTCACATGAAATGTATCTATTTTACCAACATTTGTAAGTGCACTGATGGTGGGGATGACATCATGGTCACTTCAATATCAATGAGGTGAAAGTATTTCTAAAGACACTTTAACACTCAAGTTAGAGAAAAGTCCAAGGTAAGAGTAGAATTAAGGTTAAAATGATACATGATGCCCCATATATAGGTGGTTGTGGTTGATCATATCTCTTGATTAAGAGATAGTTTTACATGATACATTGGGAATATATCCTTGTGATTATGTGGAGTGTTTTATGGGTAGAGATATTATCCCTGATATGTCGCTCTTAAGTGCATTTTAAGATTTATGGAGATTTGGCGCAAGATTTCTAGGTTTATTATGATGAGCTGACGAGGCTACTCGGCCAATTTAAGCTCATTATGACATCACCTCGGTCTGTTTGTGCTGGTAGCACATAAGCCCCCAAGTTCTGAACTTCGTAGAGTGAAGGAATTATTAGTGTGTTCACCTTTGACTTTTGTTGATCAAGTGATGGAGTTGTTGGCGTATGGCGTACACTTTTGATAGTTTTCTTGTGTGCTTTAATGAGTAATAATTGTTGTTTCAACGATAGATCTGGGTCGTTTGTTGCATATCGAATTTGAATGTGGTTTGTTTATTAGGAGAGAGAGAAAAAGGGCAATAGTTATGCTTTATGTTTTAAGAGTGGTTTTTAGAAATTGTTCATTTCTTGCTTTGTTGTACGTCATCTTGTGTTTGCTCATTGTTTTTGCTCGTTCGTGAGTTCCTAGGTTGTTGTTTTGTGTTCCAAATTTTGTCCCAATTTATTAACACTTTAGGTATCCTTCTTCCTCCTCGCTATTTTTTTTTTAGTTTTTTGGCCCGTGTTGTCTTCATGTGTGTTGGAATGGGGGAAGAGGAATTTGAGATTATTTTTTGAGGATAGTGACTTCTTTGATGCTGCTATAAGGTTGTGAGAATGTTCCTCCTACTGTCCGTGAAGGGACGTTTGGTGTGGGTAGTGTAGGGGTGATTACTACTAATGTGGTTCAACAAATGGTGATGGCAGAGCCCACCTTTGTTAGGGTTGAAGAAGTTGCAGTGTCATTATCAAAGGATTTGGGTGATGATAAGGTTAAAGGCCCTTTGGACAGGGAGGGAAATAAGTGGGTGAAGGGTGAAGTTGATTGGTATGAGAGTCAGTTACATACAAAGGAGGCGATGGTGATGCTATTGGACAATTATGCCTTGTCTACACCTTCTAATTCTCATTTGTTTGCAGTTCGTTCCTATGTCAAGGGTGAATGGGTATACTTAGGCGAGGAGATGTGCACTCACTCGTTTATGTATATATATTGTTGTGTTCTTCATAACATTGGCATTACTTTACCTTTTAGTACTCTTGAATGTG